TTCCTGAAGACGTGAGCGTCATGAACCCTTCCCGGCCATCCCACGTTGATGTTGGTGAAACGTCCCTTGTGATCCACCAGTGCTTGCAGCACCATTTAAAAGTACCCCTTCCGGTTTGTGTACTGGCTGCCCTGGTGCCAAGATAGGGATATGGGTTCCATCTATCGCCCCACCACAGTTAGGGAATCCCATTGCAGCAAAGCCATCTACTATGACCTGCACATTTCCCAGAGTCACTACCTTTGGTAGCAGCAGCTCAGCGATTGCTTTGGCTACTTGCATCACAGCAGCCCCCACAGTAGATTTGCCCATTCCAAATTGATTCCCGACTGACCAGTAGCTGTCTGGCGTTGCAAGCTTCCACAGGGTTATCGCAACTCGCTTCTCAACTGTGAGGGCTGCTCTCATCTTGGTATTCTGGCGCTTCAGGGCAGGAGAAAGCAAGTCACAAAGTTCCATGAAAGTGCCCTTACGAATGCAAAAGTTTCGCAGCCACTGGGAATTGTCCCACACCTGCAACACTATTTGGTCCCACCAGTCTGTGCTTGTTTCCCAGGCCCAGAATTGGCATTCCACGGCTAGAACCTGCCCCATTAACAACATGATCTCCAAAGCATCGGGACCTGCGGTTTGAGAGAATTCTGTGACCATGTCCTCATCACTCTCGTCGCCGCACTGCAGTGGCCGCCTCCTCCTCGCCTGGTTTTGCAGGTTCTGGTTCAGCATAAACTGCATGATAATGCGCAAGGTGTTTACAATGTTCATGACTGCTGTCTTGAGCTGAGCGGGCTCCATGCTTGCCGTGGTATGGCGTCTGCACAGTTCACTCAGGAAAAAAGGCGTGAAACGGTTGTCTGCCATTGCTTTCCCAGAGGGAAGGGGAGCATGTACCCAGAACCACCCGCGACAATGTTTTTGGCCCCATCAGGCATTGGGATCTCAACCCAGAATTCCAATTGGCAGGGGAGACTGCAGGAACTATTGAATAGCTATGGGATAGCTATCCACAGTGCAACGCTCCGGAAGTAGACACTAGCCTCAGTACATGGACACACACCGCCGAATTAATGTGCTTACTGTAGCCGCATGCATTCGACTTTATACAATCAATTGCCAAAAATCAAATTCTGTAAATTCGGAGTAATCCTGTAGTGTAGACATTCACTTATACTTGTGTAGACATTCACTGTATTTCTTAGGGTAATTAAAACTATGCTACACTTGTCAAATAAATGACATTATATTACCATGCATTAGCCGTGCTTTTCTTTTTGCATGTACACATTTGTTTACTTCCTACTTTGCAAATTTTATTAATTCACAATGGTGACCCAGTCACGGAGGTGAATTAGTAAGGTTCTTTGGATAACACCACTTATTCTCCCCTCTTCCCTACTTACATTGCTAGAATTAAATTTCTGCTTTCTCATTATTAAATCATAACATATTATGATTATTTTACCAAGTGTTGTAAAATCACATACCTAATTCCAAGATATTGGGACATCATTACATCATCCAGCAGTCAATTAATAAAATATGCCAGAAAGATACAGAGAATTACACAAATTTTCACAAGTTCAGAACAAATATCAGGTTATCGCCACAAGATACTTGCAAAAGTTATTTCTTTTATTGGTTTAAATAAGTTGTTATTAACAAGCCTTTTCTCTTCCTCTGAAGTATAACAGCACATGGTGCCTGCATGCATATGTTAACATGTGTATGTGGTCTACATAGTGGAGAACATCTTAATATCTCACCAGTGAAAAACTATTTTTTGTCTTGAAAAACATCTCAGATGTTTTTAGTATCCAATAACATAGATATTATCTGCAGGAAAAATAATGGTATGCACACTAAGTATATATGCCACATTTCTGACAAGTGAGTAGGCCACATCAAAAGAAATAAATCAACATAAATAATCAAAAGGAAAAATCACATTCTCAAAAACTAGAAACAACCATCCAGGGGAAAATTAATTTAGATAACTAAACTCAGTTACTGCCGATGTATATCAGAACAGGACCCAGCCCATTGTGCTTTCAGCCAGCTCTCTCACACTTCATGTATTCTTCTCATCAGGACCATATTAAGAATAAAAAAACTAAATGAAAGCCAAAATGACCTAAACTTCATCTAACTTTTGACCTCGTATTAAGAACTGTATTGTATTTCTTTTACATCCTAGTTTTACACAGCAGAGATTATTAACTACTTTGCCTTGTGATTTCCTAGCTGCTTTTGCTTTGTCAAGAAACTCTAGGGACCTAAAGGATGTTTATTCCAGGATGTTTTAATCTTCCCTCATTTTTTAAGCTTCCAGTGCAGTTTGAACATATTTTTAAAGAAGAATTTCACAAAAGATAACTTTGTGAAATATCTCTTGAACCTCTACAGAATGATGCAGAATGAGTCATTTGAATTACAAGGCAAAAACCTATGCTGCTGTCCAAAAAAAATATGAAAAGAAGGGCAAGTCCATGTTTCATAAGTGCTTGTTTGGGAAATGACAGGCACTGAGCAACAAGTGACGTACTCAAATATGAGAGCTAAAGCAGAGCATTTCAAACCTACAAAATGACTTCAAACCAAGTCATTTTAGTATGTCAAGGTTTTTGAATCCTTTCCTGTCGTGTTTTCCCACAACACCTTTCTAAATTAAAAACATACATTCTTAACCTACACTGAAGGGGAACTTTAACATCATGTTTAAAAAGTTTAAAACATCAAGCAATTGATAGTATTCCGTCCACATACTGTCAAAGTTACAGAATATACAGACATAATGCCCAGTCCAGACCTAACTAAAAGTGATAGTGGCTTTCTGATCTGTGAAACACTCACAGGTCTGCAGATCCAAAACTATGCAGAGTAAAGAACTACCATTCGTTGTGTCCCCTTAAACAACACATGTCTTGTGAAGCCACATGGAACAGGGGAGAAGGGAGAATTCATGCTCATCTCATTCTTGGGACCTTCAATTTCAAATCTGCAGCAGCAGCTACATTGTGACAAGTCAGTTCATATCTAATCAAGAGTAACTCTGCTCAGCAATGAAGATTTTGTTCCTTCTATATCTAAAATACATTTCTAAAGAATGCATAAAGCTATCAAGCTATGAAACATTTGTTCCCATTCAATCATGTGTTCCCCCCAACTTCAATCCACACAGGAGTCCTTCTGACAATTATCAATTGTGATAAGGAACATTCCAAACAGATAGTAACTTTTTGGTGCTAAAGAACAATTGAGACTCGGTCATTGTTGCCTCACTTGTTTCTGGGCCAATGTAGATACAGCCCACCGACACAGAAAGAGAGCTATCAATGCTGACAGCTGTTATATCTTTTACAGACAGCAAACCTCTATAAAGCCCCAATCCTACCAACAGTTACACAGGTGCTATATGTTTGTAACAACATCAGGGCCATAGTTTCCCAGCTGAGAGTTCCCAGTTAGCAAACTAAGGGTACGTCTACACTACCCACTGGATTGTCAGGTAGTGATCGATCTATCGGGGATCGATTTATCACATGTAGTGTAGACGCAATAAATCAATCCCCGATCACTCTCCTGTTGACTACTGAACTCCAGCTCCGCGAGAGGCGGAAGCAAAGTCGACGGGGGAGCGGCAGCCAACGATCCCGCGCCACGAGGACACGAAGTAAGTGATTCTAAGTCGATCTAAGATATGTCGACTTCAGCAACCCTATTCTTGTAGCTGAAGTTGCGTATCCTAGATCAATCCCCCCCCCCCCCAAGTGTAGACCAGGCTTAAGGCCCTGTGTGAAGAGGCAGAAACTGGGAAGTAAACCCAGGTTTCCTACTTTCAGTATAGCACGTACCACTAATGGGATTGCTACCAGGCTTTTTAAAATATTATTTTATTTACACAGTTACCTTGAGGAGAGCTTTGTAAATAAAAAAAAACATGTTATCAGTTGTGTGTTAACAGCCCAATTGACTACTTAACCCAACAAAGAAGTTTCCCATTTGGTACTTCGGTGATAAGATGCTCTGAAGTTCACAACTATTGTAAGTAGAGGTTGCTTTATTCACAATGTCAGAATCAACATAGAACCAGTTATTGTGTTGGGGAGGGAGTAATTCTAGAGGTTATGGTTTACATGGTCTCATGAAGTATCCCTTAATTCCAACAAAAGTAACCTTTAAATAGTACCAAAATAAATCCCTAGCTCACAAAAAAACAGATTTACTTTATAGCCAATCATATGAATATATATTTCAGCACCAACTCCGACCCCTCAATGTACTCTCTATACCATAACATTTTCTTGGCTCAATCGTGTAGCACTGAAAGCAAGAATTGGGCCTATAGCATCATGTTAATCTATAGCACGGAGCTGTCAAGATGTGGATGTATACATTAAAAATACAAAGAAAAAAATACAGCTCATGTACAAGTTAATTTTTAATACCTGTATTTTCTCTCTCCCCCACAACCAGCCGTTTTTCTAAATATTAACGTGCATAAACCATCAATTTGCAGCATTCCCTTCCATACACAAGAAAAGTTAGAGTAAAAAACAAACAAAAAAAAAGAAGAGATCCATTCCTGGTAAACTCATTTTGGTGCAGTCTGATAACATGGAATCACCCAAGCACATTTTAATTAAAATGCATTTGGAAAACAGATCATCAATGTCAGGTTTCAGCACTTGGCAAATATCAGGTCTATATTTTCAAACGGACAGCCTGATTCTAGCCATGGACCCTCACCCCTCAATACACTGACACGGCGCACACCCCTACCCCACCAGCACGCACCCCGGAATGCCAAGTGCGTCCCCTGCCCCCGCACACCCAGCGCACCCCGACCCCCCCAGCACACAGGGGCGCTGGAGCAATTTGTACAGTGGGGGTGATGCTGAGAGCCAGAGACCCAAACTCTGATGGAAACCGCGTCAAGCCAAGCCCCCACCCAGCGCACCTCACCCCCGCCCCGCCGCAGGCCGAGTCTCCCCTCTCGGTACCTGGCTGAGGAACTGTGGGGGGGCGGTGGGCTGCGGGGCGGCGGGGCCGAGCCGCCCCAGGACGAGGAGGAGCAGCAGGAGCCCGCCAGGCCCCAGCGCAGCCTCCATCTTGGGTCCCGGGAATTAAAACAAACTAGTGAAACATCCCCGCGGGAAGAGGGAGGGGAGCCGCAAGGGCGGGGCGAGGGGCGGGCTGGAGCCGGGGGAGGAGAGCCGAGCCGGGCCGGGCCGGGCTGTTGCACAAGAGCGGCTGGAGGGGGCGAGCGGGACGCACGTACACACCCCGCCTCCGCAGGACGGGGCACGACTGCCGGCGGGGTTGCGCCGCGGTCCGGCTCTGGGATGGCCGGTGCGCCCCCGGGTGTCGCTGGAGGCATGTGCAGGCGGGGCGGCGATGGGGTTCTCTGCGGGAGGTGGGAAAGACAATGAGGCGGATTGGCTGGTTCCGGCCATTGCATTCCCCCCACGTAGTCTGTGTGCTGGGGAAAGCCTCGTCTTCCGTCCCTCTTCCCCATCCCTGCCCTGCCCCTTTCCGCCCTCAGCTGTGGGGGAGGCTCCAAGGCCAACTTTTCCCCTGGCGGGAGACGCCTCCGCGAAAGCAGAGCCACAAAGTCGGCACAGGCACACGCCGTTGGCGCGGGGGGGGGCGGTCTCCCCTCTGTCCGCACTGCACGGGATCCCAAGGCGGCGCGGACGGTCCTGCGTGTTGATTTTTGGCCCTCTTTCAAGGAAGACTTTGCAAAGGTTAATAAATGTTCAAACACCAAAACACTTTGTGAAGACCAGTTAAGGTTGTAAGAGATAATAATGAAAAACTCAAACCCACTGAACCCAGGATATAAGGTTCTATACCAGAGGTGGGCAAACTATGGCCCACGGGCCGCATCTGGCCTGTCAGCCGTTTTAATCTGATCCTCGAGCTCCTGCTGGGGAGTGATGTCTCGGGCTTTCCCCACTCCAGCAGGGGAGCAGGGTCGGGGCCGCTCCATGCAGCTCGTGGAAGCAGTGGCGTGACCCCCCTCCGGCTCCTACACATAGGTGCAGCCAGGGGGCTCTGCTCCACATGCTGCCCCCACCCCAAGACACTGCCTCCACAGCTCCCATTGGCCGGGAACTGCGGCCAATGGGAGCTGCAGGGGCGGTGCTTGCAGAACGGGCAGCATGCAGCAGAGCCACCTGGCTGCACCTCCATGTAGGAGCCAGACGGGGGGCATGCGTTGTTTCCGGGAGCTGCTTGAGGTATGAGACGCCCAGAGCCTGCACCCCTGAGCCACCCCCCACAGAGCCCCAATCTCCTGCCCCAACCCTGATCCCCCTTCTGTCCTCCGAACCCCTCAGTCCCAGCCCGGAGTACCCTTCTGCACCCCAAACCTGTCATCCCCAGCCCCACCCCAGAGCCTGCACCCCCAGCCAGAGCCCTCACCCCATCCCACACCCCAACCCCAATTTTGTGAGCACTCATGGCCCGCCATACAATTTCTATACCCAGAAGTGGCCCTTGGGCCAAAAAGTTTGCCCACCTCTGTTCTATACCTACATCCTTCTCACACTTGCACTGACTCTCACAAACACACTATCCCTTCCCTGAGCAACCCTACTCAATCACGGTCACCGGCAGACAACCTTAATTCTGCCTTTGTTTAAAGTCAATGTTTTAATGGGATTAATCTTTATTTCCCTCTGTCGTTTTCAGTCTGGCATTATTTTTCCTTAGGAAACTTCACTGGAAATATCATTACAATAGCAAGGCACTAGTCAAGGGAAATTAGCAAATTAAATTTATTGTAAGTGGAAAGTGAAACTGTCCAAGCTGAGTGAAATATCAAATGTAAACGAACAGCTTAAGGAGAGAAAAGAAAATTAGATGTTTTAAATTATTTTAATTACAATAATAATACAGTGGCCTGGTCATGAAAATTGTTACAAACACATTTATAGTTATTCCTGTTCTCACTGACTGCAGTGGGATTCTATACAGAGTAACTATGGATCTAAGCCAAAACCTGTTAAGTCAGTGGATAGACTACCATGGCCTTCAGTGGGTTTTGGATCAGGCTCTATGTGTGTGGACAACTCTTTGTAGGAATAGGTCCCCAGATTGTTAAAACAAATAATTGGGCCCCAAAGTATTATTCATTACACATCTTTTAAAAAAATAATTTTTACTTTTATAAATTCCCTTAACCAAAAAGGAAAGAAAATTAATTAGGCCTGCTTACAGCCTTTTAAAACTCCTTCTTACTTGCTTGACAGTCTGCAATTGTCTGCTGAGCTAAAGCCTATTTTAAGAATTTGGAGTTAATGAATCTTTGATGCAACTGATGGTAATGATTTCTCTTAAACCATTTTGTTCTGTCATATCAGGGCCTGCTGGGAGACTTTTTCAGTGAGCCAGTGCTGTGCTCTAAATATCCATTTTACATTAAGAAAACAAATTGCACATTTTGAATAATGCTTTTTACAGTAAGCAAATATATGTACTGTATTGTATTCAGACAGACTCACATCCCCACACAGACTATATGAACATAGGTGATGATATTCATGTGATAAATACTTCACCATGCACCTTTGCATGGCCTCACCTGCACTCAGTCTACAAATCCTTTTTTTGAAGCTATTTCTAACGTACCAAATTCTCAAAACTTTGAGGAGCTTTGAAGAGCCACTGTATATTAAAAAAAGAAACTGTCAGATAAATGTTTCCTTCTTTCTCCCAATAAGTGGAATTTTCGGATGTAATCTGCACTGGTTTGAGGTGTAGGAAATATTTTGTCTTGCACCAGAACCAGGTTTGAGACTTCCCTACCCTGCAAGGCCAGAAGTGGGAGTTCTATATCGCTGGACAGGGGAGATTATAGGCAGGAAAGGTAAATACATTTAAAACTCTGTGCAAAAAATAATAATAATAATTTGAAGGATATAAGATCTGTGTACTTAAAAGTTAAATACGCAAAAGGGCTTATTTTCAATTACCTTGCATCTTGCATGATCATTTACATCTGTGTAATGCAAATGTGAAATGTTATGAAAACAGAGAAGTAGTATTTTACATCCACTTTGCACTCACTTGACATAGGTGCAAGGCAATGGAGAATGAGGCTTAGGAGTTTTACAGGAAATGACATCTTGCCCATTCTTCTCACTTTCTTTGACTTTGAACCATTTCAGCATTGAAGAAACTTTCATGTACATAACTGCTTGGTCCTGTTTTATTTTGTTTGTGATTATCTCCAAATAAACTTTATAATTTTTTTATTTTGATTTCTCCAGAAGTTATTTAATAATGAATATTTGATATAGCTGCTTTTATCTGACAATTTCAAACACTTCCAACAGTAAGTATGATTATTATTATTATTATTTCCAGTTAACAGATCAGGAAACTGAGACAGAGAAGTTTTGTGATTTGCCCAAGGTCACACAGCAAATCACTGACAGGGCAAGGAATAGAACACAGGTGTCTTGATTTCCATTTCCTTTCTCTACCCCCACACTGCCATTTAAATTAGGTCTGTCAATTAATCACAGTTAATGCAAGCGATTAATGCAAAACAAATTAACTAGATTAAAAAAGTAGTCACAATTAAGCGCAGTTTTAATTGAACTGTTAAACATTAATAGAATACCAATTTAAATTTATTATAAATATTTTTGGATGTTCTACATTTTCAAATATATTTATTTCAATTACAGCACAGAATACAAAGTGTACAGTGCTCACTTTTGTTACAAATATTTGCACTGTAAAAAAGAAACAAGAAATAGTATTTTTCAATTCACCTCATACAAGTACAGTAGTGCAATTTCTTTATCATGAAAGTACAATTTACAAATACAGAATTTTTTTATATGTAAGTGCAGTCAAAACCAAAACAATTTAAAACTTTGGAGCCTATAAGTCCACTCAGTCCTACTTCTTCAGCCAATTGCTAAGAGAAACAAGTTTGTTTATATTTATGGGAGATAATGCTGCCCACTTCTTATGTACGTCACCTGAAAATGAGAACAGGGATTCACATGGGACTGTTGTAGCCGGCATTGCAGGGTATTTACATGCCAGATATGCTAAACATTCGTATGTTTCTTCATGCTTTGACCACCATTCCAGAGGACATGCTTCCATGCTGAATTTAAATTGGTATCCTATTATTGTTTAACAGTGCGTTTAATTGTAACTATTTTTTAAATCTCGTACTTAATTGTGATTTTTTTTGTATCATTTGACAACCCTAATTTAAACATATACTGCAGCATGGCTGTCTACTGAGGCAGTTTCCAAAAAGAAGACTCATCCATAATACAAGTACCACTCAAAGAGGGGGCAGAAGTTCTGTTTATGTCTGTTCATTGTGCATTCTCACTCTGGTCAGCCAGAGGTGAGCCAGCAACATCATGCAATAAATCTGTCTGGTAAATAGGGATCCTAGTGGTATATTTTGCTGAATTTCATAATGGTTACAAAACTGTTTGCAAGGATGGAATGGCAGATATAGGCATGCACCATTTGTTGTCACTTGTGAATATTGCATATGCTGGTGGGAGTAGATTTAAATAAAATGCATTCCTAACTATGGATTGCATTCCAGTGGTGAGTCATAGATATAGTTCGTGTTTCAGTGGGTTGTGTTCCGACAAAAGCTTGATGAACTCTACGCAACTGACACCAGGCCCACTTCTAAAGCTGCTATGATGTTCTGAGTATGGACTTTGTGATTAAATCATACTTAAAATGTACTAACAGCAAGATTATTTATAACACTATATGAATATACAAACACGTAGCAAAATAAGGATCCCCTTTAGCCTTGCATTTTCAACAGACCCTAAAGGATTCAGGCACTCAACTCCCATTGAAATTAAATGGGAGTTGGGTGTCTAAGTCCCTCAGACTCCTCTGAAAAATCCCAGCTTTGATGGTCCCTATACAGGATACTTATCTAACTGTTGACTTCCTTCCTCTCTCTTCTGCTTTCCCTTACTCCATAAAACCATTCTCTCTTCTCCTCCCTTTCATCCTCTCTTCTTCACTCCCTCTCTCAATTTTCCTCATTCAAAATTACACTGAATATATGAGACACTTTTTGGTGTACCCAGTACTGTGAGTCACCCTGTTACCCCAGGTCTCCAGTGAGAGGGAGTCTTTCTTGTGGAAGCTGGGTAGCAGTTCCCTGGCACCACCAGATTTTTGGCCACTCAACCTCTCTCCTTTGGGCTGTGCCAGCCCTAACTCAACTTGCAGGCTATCCACAGGTGCACCCCAAGTCCCCCGGAATCATTCCCCTGTGATATCCAGCCCCTGACACTGGTTACTTACAGAAATTCCAGATGCTCTGCACCCAAATCTGCAGTTGTGTTCCAGTGTATCAGTTTTATCTTAAGCCATCACTCCTGTAAACCACACAGCACTTGTGAACACTTATAATAAAACAAAATCAGGTTTATTAAAGTAAGAATAAAGTTTTAACTAGAAATAAGACAAAATATTGGAAACACGTGATTACAATACAAAACATAAAATGTGAACCTGGGTCTACACTTAGTAGTAGTTACCTTTCTTATCAAATAAAGTAGATTTCTACCCAAAAGTTCAGTCTGCTGCAGAGCTGGCTGGTTTCCCTTCCTCCAAGTACTCCCTTCCTCCAAGAGTTTTCCTCAGTGAATGGATCCAGAGTGCTTCTCCTTCCTCTGTGGTATATTGAAAAAAGCCTTTTGTTTCTATTTACTGCCACTGTTACTGTTGTAACAGTTCCTTCTTCACCTCTAAGAGGTTTTCATTGTTTGATGGTGGCTCTGATGTGTTTTCCATGGATAGTTTTGGAAGGGAGCAAGACTAGTCAATTGAGCCTTGCATTACCTTGCTGGCTGATGAGAGAGGGGTGACAACTCCCTCCTGCTTGAATGGGCCATCATTGGGGCACATTTCCTCCTGGTAACTAATTTCTATTCTAAGTCCATAAAGCATAGTCTCAATATAAATACATTGTTCCTTTAAACATTATCCATACACACAACACACAATTGTGAGTCTTGACAAGTTACGAGCTTTCTGTAGATTCCTCCTGTGGTATCCCTTGTGGATAAATACCCTGCAAGATATGTTTGGTGTAATGAGTTTGTCAGGTCTGAGGTGAGAGCTGTTTACAGAGAAAAGGGGACTATTTGCCAAAGGGTCTCTGTGTCACAGTACAACATAACTTTTTCACCTTTATGCAGAAAACAAATTTCACAGTCTCTGTTGTATCTGTAATCTCATTACATAACTGATAGAATAATGGTTTACCTATTTCTACTAATTGTTACTAACTCTTATTAGAATTAGTTCCTCTTATCCTTTTCTCCACAAGAGACCCCCACACTTGGATGATTCAACTATATGGGTGAGGTAATAGCTTTAACTGGAGCTAACTTCTGTTAGTAAGAGGGGCAAGCTTTTGAGCCACACAGAGCTTTTCTGTTACCAATAGAAGTTGGTCCAATAAAAGATATTACCTCACCCACCTTGTCTCTCTAATATCCTGGGACCAACACAGCTACAACAACACTGTATCCCAGGAAGTCAGTCAGTCAATCTCAAAATCATATGATCCCAAAGAATCACCTTTGTTATTAAAAGAAAAATAGAATTAAGAATAGTAAATTACAGAATTGCAATAAAAAGCAGCACGTTATACCAGAAACACTGAGGTGTGAGTGCTGAAGCTCCTACAAATCAATGCCTGTTTGCTATTAAAATTATTAACTAGCACAACGACAGCCGCCCCCCAATAGCGTGAGCAAAGATGAACCAGAGCAGTGCTAAGAATAATGAACAATAAAGGTGTGAAACCACACGTGGCCAGTGGAGGAGAAGAAAAAGGCTGCCCAGGCAGCTGAGAGGTTTTAGGCAGCAACACACGCTGACGAGGGACGCTTCTGAACACAGACAAGTACAGCGGTGTCGGGGTGTGTGTAAAACACCCCAGAGAACCGCGTATCTCTCAGCAGCTCCAGCCACCAGGGCAGCCCCGACCCCACAGCTCTAGCCCTGCGACCCCTGCCGGCAGGCTCAGCGCACGCACGACACTGCCACTGCCAAGCAGCGCATGCGCCTTGCTTAGCCCCACCCCCCGGCTCTTCACTCCTGTGCAGCCAGTGCCCCGCCCCTCCTCCCCGCACACATTGCGTCCCGCCCGCCCCGCCCTGCCCCGCCCCCTTTTACTCTCGCGTCACACCGCCATCCCAAGTGAGGCGGGCGGCGGCTTCCGTAGGTGTCATTGAGCATGCTCAGTTTGCACGGGCGTGCTCCGTAACAGCGAAGCCGAACAGCGCGGCGTCTCCCTTTGACTCTCCCGGAGGCGGCCGGGCGGGACGCGCTGCTGGGCCTGGCGCGTTGTTGTGGTTCCGGGGCGCGGCGGCCATGGCCGTGCTGCTGGAGACCACGGTGGGCGACCTGGTGATCGACCTGTACACGGAGGAGAGGCCCAGAGGTGAGGGGCGGGGGCCCGGGGAGTTGGAGCGGGGCCTGGGGGCGCGTTGGGGGCAGACTCGCCCAGCGCCAGTGTCCCGCTCCGCCAACCGAGGAGGACGGAGGCCACAGAGCTTAGCATAGCGCTGATGGGTGGTGCTGTGCGTGGGGGGGAACCCGGGGTGGGTTCAAAAGAAGGGCAGCAGTAGGGTCACTGAGCAGAGCATCTGATGATGCTGACTGTGTTTCAGCTCTCGTGTGTAATACTTTTACAACATGAAAACGTGGGGTTGATTGCATTTGGCTTGATGCAAACACTCCGTGCATCTGAAGAAGTGGGTTTTTTACCCACGAAAGCTTATGCCTAAATAAATCCGTTAGTCTTTAAAGTGCCACTGGACTCCTCATTGTTTTTGTGGATACAGACTAACACGGCTACCACTTTGATACTTCACACTCTTAAGGAATCCCTTGTTGAGGGCTTGTAGTAATCCTGCCCTTTTCTGGTTGCCAGTTCTCATAAAGTCTGCATGGATTTATTTATTTTTTTTAGTTGGAAAATGCAAGTTGGCGATTACATTCGCTATACCAAATTAGGTCCCTGATTCTGTATTTGGGTAGGTGTAAGGATATTAGGATAAAAGATGCTTACGCTGGTAAGTTAAATGTGTGTGCTTGCAGGATGAGGGCCTTAGTTTCCACATTTAATTTCAAGGGTATGGGGAAACTTATTACTCTGTGTTTTTTTTCTAATTATAAACAACAATTTTGGTTGGGAGCTCATTTTCTTCTACTGCAGACAATATGTGTCTTATTTTTATGTCTCTAAAATATTGAGTAAGTGTAATAGTTTTTAAATTGAAAAAACATTGACTTTTTCCTTGGTAGACATTATTTGGGGAAGGCTAGGGAGGGGGAAAAATGTGTGCTGATCTTTGTTATACAACTGTTCATATTGCTATTCTAAATATTGCTGGATGTGGGATCTAGGAAGGGAAAATGCATAGTATTTAATCTTTTCCATAGATGTGTAGCAGGCTTTAGAGTCAATGTTAATAAAATCCCAGTACAGCCAAAGAGAAAAGATCCAGGCGCAAATTGCATTTTTTTGTAAATTTCAATATAATTTCTTTTAGCTTGTCAGAATTTTCTGAAGCTTTGCAAAATCAAGTACTACAACTACTGCCTCATTCACAATGTACAGGTGAGTGTTTATAATAGATATTTATTTCCTTCTTTGTCTACATCCATAAGTAGACTAATACCTTGTGTATCTTGCATTGATACAGAGGGATTTTATTATACAAACTGGTGACCCCTTGGGGACTGGCCGTGGAGGGGAATCTATCTTTTGGTGAGTAAAACCTACTTAATATGAAATAGGCCTAATTTGGGGGTGGACTTGCTGAATGTCCTACTGAATCATTGTTGGGAGATGAGAGCTGCTTTTGGCTCCTACACCTTGATGTCTGTTGTCATTCCTCATGCTGTCTTTTGATCCTAGACATTTATTTTTTTTCGGGACAGTATGCTACTTCTGTTCTTAAATCAAATCAATAACGGGTGTAATTGTGAGCAGGTGACTGTAGGTTTGGCTGCTGTGCGGTGTGCCCTACATGGCTGCTCTGTGGAAGTCACCACATTTTTTCTACTGCAGTGCTGAGAACTATGATGTAATGCACTTACATTTTGCTTGTGATGGAGGGGAAGCAGGTAACTATAGTAAAAAATCTTGTATTCATGTGTCAACTCCCCAAGCCCCCTTTCAAAATCAATAAAACTGTTGCTCGGGCTCAAATTTTAACTACACTAAATATATGAAGTGTGCTTTTTGGTAATAGGTAATTGGAGAGTCTTGTGTTTGAGTGTTTTTTAAGAGGGACACATAAAATGAGTGTTAGGAAGAAAATAACATTTCTTATAAAAATCAATTTTCTATAGTGATGCACCTGAAGAAACATGCAAACAGGTCAGATAGAATTTTGGCTGACTGCATAATCTTCCAGATAATTTTTCCTTTAAATCTGATGTTCTAGAGGAAAAATCAAGTTCAAGTTGCAGGGAAAAAAACCCTGTATTTACCGCTTAGTTGATGAATAGTTCTCATGTAACTCTCTGTAGCCAATAGACTTGCAGTTATTCGCCCATACAAACTGGCTAACACTGCTCCAGACCTCAGTAATATGGACCTTTAAGGAAGTACACCAAATAAATTTACATCTGTTCTACTATGCTATGCTATAATGGAGTTAGGGAGACATGGTTACAAACTTTTTTACCCACGCTATCAGGTAGATGGGGACCAAACTGTGTCCCTGTAAGTGGTTTAAAACTTTTGACAATCCAGGATTCTGATGTATTATTGTTCTGGTCTGTCACCAGTCACTCCTGGGATCTTCTCTTCCTTTACACTTTTTTATATTATATACTGATTTTTCTTTCCCTGCCTGGCTCCTTGATGTGCTCTGTCACAAGTAGAATCTTCTAAAAGAGTGGCAGGCTGACTTGCTTCCCTTTTCTGTTCTGCTGCTGGCCTCTGAGAATACAGATCCATTCTGAGGATGTTACCTTTTTCTTATTGCTGAACAGGACAGAAAGGTGGGGGTTTCAGTTCTTGGTGCAACCTAAACTGATATAAGCCATGTTGAAATGGATTTAAGAGTGCACATTTAGGTTCACGATCAGTTTAAAATAATAACTTTCTGTGTAAGCCAGTTCTCTCTCACCTGGGGAAGAACAATGTGAGATCAGGATCAGACATTGAGACTTAAAATCGCTGCATCCAATCCTGTATGCCTTGAAAGCTGATGTGTAAAATGAAGTTTGCAGCTTTTTCTGTTCAGATGATGAATTTTAGTCTACGTACAAACTATTTAATGGTTTTCACTTTGTTTTATAAGGAGAAATAGGTGCACAAGTACCATTTATATTTGATAAAGTGAATTATGCTTTTAATTCCCTGTACACTGTACTGAAAGTATGTTTTGACAGTAGCTTCTAGCAAATTACATGCTAGTATCTACCAGAGATGTCAGAAAGTGTTTTCTAATATGCTTAAAACCCCCTCATTCTGTAGAATGTCTCCAGGGAAAGAGCTGTTAATATTATTTGCATTATGGGGGGTGGTTGGGTAATTCTATAGTCATATTATAAATGTGTACTGTAAAGTGATCATTTTATTTGAGCATTCTTATTATAACATACTTTAGTAAATTATTTTGTCTTGTTCACTGTTGTATAACGCTTGTTTCACTGTCAGCATTTTTTAATCTTGCTGCCTCATAACATATTTATTGTATATATTTTCAGTAAACTCTATGGTGATCAAGCTAGATTTTTTGAGGCAGAAAAAGTGCCAAGAATTAAGCACAAGAAAAAGGGAACCGTATCAATGGTGAACAATGGCAATGATCAACATGGATCTCAGGTCAGCGCACAGTATTGGGAGGCTTTTGCTATAACTCTGGAATAGCAAAGAGGGAAACTCCACAGGTTAAAAAATGTGCATAACAATGAAAATAACACACAGTTACTGTTTTTTATAGTTAAAAGGATACTGATCAGGTATTCTTCATATTCAAATGATTCTAGAGCTTCCTAGTTATATTAAACTCTCTAACTTGGAAATTGAAATCATACCTTAATAATATGTTTTCTTCATCATTATGTGCACTTATTGGTTCTTTATTGTAGAGCTGATCAAAGGCGCTAGGCTGATTAAAATAATCATTTAAAAAATAATGTTGTTTAGGAAGAAAAGGACTGAAGGGGACAGTGTGGAAGTTAACCGGCCTAATGTGTAGTATTCCCTACATATACTTTAAAAAAATATTTTTAAAAATCTGCTCTTGTGATCCTGGACAAATCTGTCAGTTTCCCTTAGCTAGAACTGTGTGCAGCTAAATATAGCAATGAGCAAGACTTTTCCAATTTGATTGTAAAGCATGCGTTCCAAATGTCATTCATTTTTTGTGTTGGTTAACCATAAAGTCTGTTCTAAATTAGGGTGGAGGGCTAGATGCTCAGCTGGTATAAACTGTCATAGTTCCATTAAAGCCAACGGAGCTACATCAGTTTACACTGCTTGAAGGTCTAGTTCTGTCCTCTCCCATTGAAGTCAGTGGTAAAACTCCCACTTACTTCAGTGGGCATGGTGTCAGGCCCAAAATTATATGGAGATTCTAAAAATTTTACGGTTTACTTGTAAACAGTTTTTTTTATCTTGTCTTTATAGTTTCTTATTACTACAGGGGAAAACCTAGATTACCTTGATGGTGTGCACACAGTGTTTGGAGAAGTAACAGAAGGCATGGATGTATTAAAGAAAATTAACGAGACCTTCGTTGACAAGGAATTTGTTCCTTATCAAGACATCAGGTATGACTAGGTTTAAACTTCCTAGCTTAGAGGTGACAAAGTGCTGGAGGCTAACACATTAGCCAGCCCTCAGATCACTTAGGTACAAATTTAGTTTCTGTGGAGAAGGCCGTCTGGGGAGTATGTGGCTAATTAGCTGATCAGTCTCGAGACTGATGAACCAGTTAGACACCAGCTGAGGGCTGTTAAAGGCAAGAAGGGACAGAAGATTGGGTTAGTTGAACCCTGTCTGTTCTGGGATTCTAAGGGAGGGAGATCTCTGTTCCTCTCTGGCCCTGCAGGAAGGGGCAAGAAACCACTGTAAATACTTAGCTGCACAGGACTGTATTGGGGTTGGTGGCAGGAATATAAATAAATAATGTGGAAGTGCTACTCGCTGGAGAGTTTGAGAGGTTTCTGGGTATCAGAAGGTGGGAATGGAACCTCTCCCCTTACAGAGGGTGTGTTGTAATTTTTGTAAAAACTGGTTCCTTGATCTTTCTGTAAATAGAGTTAATATGGCAATGTCAGGACACTTGTGAAAGTATCTAGTATGCTTTTTCGTTCCATTATTACTGGTAAAATATTGTGTAACTATGTGTTATGGGGACTTACTAAATGTCTTCAGAGGAAGATGCATTGACTAGATCAGTGGTCTCCCAAGTGGGGTGCGCAAGAGGATCCTTCGGGGTGCACGGCAGGAGGAGCGCCGCCGGAGCAGCGCTGCTTCAGCAGTTCGGGTGGTAGTCCGAGCGGCTTTTTTTGCTTGGGGTGGCAAAAATGGTAGAGCCGGCCCTGCGGTGCGGCGGGGGTGCGTGCTCAAAATTTTTTTTACTGATAGGGGTGCGCAATCAAAAGTTTGGAGACCACTGGACTAGATCATGTTGTCTTATCAGCTGAAAGAGAAGTTGTAGACCCCTGACCTGTAAGCTCAGACGGACCCCGCATCTGCACATAGTACCATTGTGAGTTTGCAGGGTTGGGCCCATAGAGGGGATGGATGTTGTTGTCCAGACCATCCAAAATAATGTTTATAATGTTGTTAATATGTGTATGTGGTGTTGTAGGTGTGTTGGTTCCAGGATCTGAGAGAGACTAGGTGGGTGAGGTAATTTCTCACCCGCAGAAGTTGGTCCAATAAAAGAAACAAGCTTACACACAGATCTTCAGGCCTGGGAAATGTACTCAGAGTGTCAAAGCTAAGTACAAGATGGAACAGATTTTTGTAGCATAAGTAGGTAGCACATATTTCAAGGGACTGTTCAAGGTGAAGTGGCCTGCTAACACCTCTCTAATCATAGAGGGAAAAGGAGAGGAAAAAAAAGCTGAGGGAGGAGGTTAGTGGGTTATAGATTATTGTAATAAACCATAAATCCAGTTTCTGTATTCAGTCCATGACTTTTAGTGTCTAGCAAAGTTCTAAATTTAAGCTCCCAGGCTTGTCTTTTGAAAGTGTTACGCAGGTTTCCTTTGAGGATAAGAACTGAGGTCAAATAGAGTGTGATCTCATTGTGAAAAATGTTCACACACAAGTGATAGGGTGTTTTTTGTCTTCTATAATTTTTCTGAGAGAGTTCATTTGGGAATATAGTGATTGTCTGGTTTCACCCACATAATTGTTGTTGGGACATTTAGTGTGCTGGATGAGGTACACCACATGTTGACTGGCATGTGTAGGACCCATGGATCTTGAAAGGTGTGTTGTGGGGGGTGTTGATAATTATTGCAGTTCAGATATATCTACAGATTTTTGTATCTGCTGATCTAGCAGGGTCTGGTGTTGCTTTTAGTTGATGTATCTTGGTCTGTAGGGAGCAGGGCAGTTCAGGATATGGTCCCCATAGTGTATAGGTTGTAATTGTTTGATACCCCTGCCTCCCATGTGGGTTCTAATGTGGGTCGTAAGTGACAATTAGGTGTGTGTGGACAGAGGAGGCTTTATTTCCATATTGAAGTGGGTTCTCTTGAGGAATTTGGGTGACTTATTCCATGATGGGATCTACTTCTCTGGTGGAATATCCTTGCTTGTTGAACGTAGTCTTAAGTGTGTTAAGGTGAATATCCCGGACGTTCTCCTTGGAGCATATTCTGTGGTATCTGAGTGCCTGGCTGTAGATAACAGATTTCTTGGTATGTTTGGGTTGGTTACTGGAACTGTGAAGGTGGCTGTGGTGATCTGTAGGTTTCCTGTATATTAATCTGTGTACCACTTTCGGACAGTTCAGCTGTATAATTGTTTTAATTCCATGTAGCCAAAAATAACTGTAAGATGCACTAAGTGGGGAGTTGAGAGGTTGAAATGAGGACTTTACTCACAAACTAGATTAACTGTTGGTCTAGGAATAAACAAATACATTAGAAAATCAACAATTAGTTATTAATAAAAACAGTTTATTCCTTGTATCCTAGCAGCCTGTGTGCACATCTGAACTGGCTTTATTAATCATTATATATTAGTACATAGAATTTAGTATGTAGGTATACAGAATATTTATTTGTCTAGCCCTGTAGTAGTATATAATACCTACTAGTATCCCTAAAATTGATCCCATGTTCATCAATTAAAGTGAGAGCTAGTTTTAAATAAATTAAAATGCTCACTCTTGGACTTGATTTTACTTTACATTTCCCATTAGGATAAATCATACAGTGATATTAGATGATCCATTTGATGACCCTTCTGGTTTGAGAATACCTGACTGCTCCCCAGAGCCCACCAAGGAACAACTAGATGTAAGTACTGCTAATAGCTTCTTGGGAAGATTTTGGAAATGGATAAATGTGCTAACTAGTTGTTTCCTGTATGTCCCACATTCAGCAAAGCACATGAGTAGTCCATTGAAGTCAAAGAGACTATTCGTGCTTAAAGTTAAACATGCAATGAAGTGTTTTGCAAAATAAGAGCTGCCAATATACAATTATGCATTTCTTGAATGGGGTAAGATTTCTGAAGATACAAAAAGATATATTGGAATTGGAAAATGTTCAGAAAAGGGCACCAAAAATTATTAGGGGTATGGAACTGCTTCCATATGAGGAGAGATTAATAAGACTGGGACTTTTCAGCTTGGAAAAGAGGCAACTAAGGAGGGATATGATAGAGGTCTATAAAATCGTGACTGGTGTGGAGAAAGTAAATAAGGAAAGTAAATATCCTTCTCATAATGCAAAAACTAGAGGTCACCAAATGAAATTAATAGGCAGCAGGTTTAAACAAACGAAAGAGTATTTTTTTCACACAACACAGTCAACCTTTGGAACTCCTTGTCAGAGGAGGATGTTTTGAAGGCCAAGACTATAACAGGGTTCAAAAAAGAACTAAATAAGTTCATGGAGGGTAGGTCCATCAATGACTGATGGGCAGGGATGGTGTCCCTGTTGGATCACTTGATTACTGTTTTGTTCATTCCTTATGGGGCACCTGGCATTGGCCAACGTCGGAACACAGTATACCAGGCTAGATGGACCTTCACAGCACAGTTGTACTTGACGTGACCTCTATGCTTACAAAGCAAATAACTATTACAGTTTTGAAGAAGAGAATTAAAAAAAGATCAGCAGGGTGTTTCCAGTTGTGACTGTGTATTGTGGGATAGGATGCAAAGACTTATTTTATAATCCACACTACAAAGAGAAAAGCTGTAATGTTATTTTAATAGTAATGAATCTGTTGTCTGAAATGCCCAGCTCTGGCATTATTGTTTCCTTGATACATTCTTCTGGAAGAATCCAAAAAATCACTGCTAACTTCTTATTTTACAGTATAAAATGAAGTCTATCCTTTTATTCCCTTTTTTCAATAAGAAATATTATCAGCACTTCCACACAAAAGAAAATTGTTGTTAAGCTGGAAAGTATGACTTCACTATCCACACTTCACATACAAGCAGACACGCTGGTTTGTTTTGTCTGTATTCTAGGCAGAAGGGATTTGCAGAACAATTCAGCTTATAATTGTTTTTTCTTACCTTGCAATTACTGGAGCTGCTGAAAGGAAATATCTTCTTTTGTCTGGGAACAGTGTTTCAAACAATAAATTGACTAGAGAAGTTACATGATTTAAAAAAAAAAAGTTTTAACAGATACCATAGTGATGAGTTTGGTGTAGGAACTTAAGTAGAATAGAGGGTATATCAAAATTAGTCTAATATATCCACAAGTCTAAACACTGCATAAGGAGCTTGATAGCCTAGTGTATGTTAGATAAATACTTGTAAGTTTTATAATCAGACACTTGCAAAGGAAAAACAGGGATATGCCAGTTAGCTCTAGTGAAATGCTTTGAACTAAGAGAGCTTTTTGGAGGAGAAGATTTAAAAATGGCCAATATTTTGTTGTAGGAATGTTTGTTTGGAATACTTGACTAAATACAATAGTATAAAATATACAGTTCCTGAAATTGTACTCTGTTAAATTGAAGTCTTGCTAGATGAGGCAGAAATCTCTAATACTACTTGTATACTCATTTCAATAAAGAAATGTATTTAAAAAAAAAGGGGGGGGGATAGGTTTGGGATAATAGAGGTGAAAGACTCCATATCGTGTAATTGAATTTAGCCCAGGTTGACTGTGATTGAAACTCATTAGCATGTGTAGGCTGCTTGGTTGTCTGTCTGACCAGAGTGAATGATCTTAGCCTAATTCTTCAGGGATATAGTTCTTAGTTTCACAACACACAGAATCCCAGACTGAGGTAGGGTTTTAGTATTAAGAAAAATAAAGGCTTACCCATGGGTCAGTATTTAAAATGCTGTTTTTTTGTTTTGTTTTTCAATTTCTCAGAGTGGCAGAATAAGAGCAGATGAAGAAATTGATGACTTCAAAGGAAAGTCTGTTGATGAAGTGGAAGAAATTCAGGCAGAGAAAGAAGCAAAAACTCAGGCCATTCTTTTGGAAATGGTAAATATCAGTTTTTGTTTTGTTTTTTGTCATCTTGTCAGATGTAATTTCTTTGTGTATACATGCTCTACATTATGTCTGGGTGAGTGAGTGCTTAAGACAAGTGCTTGCCTTGAGTTGCATGTCAGAAATGTTGGCCTCGTGGATTAGGGTGCATGGTATCAGGCTGTTGGTAGAGCTAAAAGAGTGAACGTGGACACTTGGTGGTCTTCCATTTGTAGGAGGCGATTTCCCGAGAAGACCAGTACCATCTCTGTTCCAAACCCAGGACTAGAATTGGTTTGATAGGGGATTTGGAAGACCTTGCTAGAAACGCTTGTTAAATTATAAAAGCTGGTCAGTCCTGTATGGAACTGTTATTCCCGCTGTGTGTTTCTAGTTTTAGTACTGGAAGTTTGTATGCATTGGGTGGCTGAGTTACTATGAAATAATTTCTCCCCAAATTCACATATTGGCATTGGGAATGCACAGCAATATAGTGGTTGGTTCCCATTCACAGAATTACAGCAGAACAGTTGCCTGCTCTTAGATAATAAGCAAGAACCCACTAATAGTTAATTTTTCCCCCCTGCTCTCTTCCCTTGGGATTTTTATGACTTATTGGTACTAAATATGGTTGTAGCTTCTGGAGTTCTTGTGGGGTTGAGGTAAGCTGGAATTTAATATGGCTGGTGCCAGACTTTAGAGGAGGTTCAATTCGCCTTCTTTAGGAATATTAATACATTAAGGAAAAGACCCAATTCAGTTCTTATTTTTAAAATGGCAGCAGTGAGTCCTTTCATTGTATGAATGTGCATGACAAATCATTATGCATTTTTTTGTTTGTCAACTTTGTATTATTCATCCACCCAAATTTGACTAATACCAACAGCTCTAATAGTACTCTTGCACAGCATCTTTCATCTAAAGAACGTAAAAAAAGCTTTTTACAAACAAATTTAAGCCTCAGCATTCCTGCAAAAGAGAAAAGTATTCTCCTCATTTTACTGATGGAGAAACTAAAGCAGAGATTATTAATCATGCAATCATTGGCAGTAGAACACTGCAGATTTCTAGTCACATGTTTTAACCACTAACCATACTTTTGGGGGGAAATAATGTTCTCCTTTTTAAGTCTTCTGAGTGACTATAGGCATTTCCCCAGGTTTCCACTGACTGAGTCGTGAGGAAAAGAATATTTGTTGTCCCCTCTTCTCCTTTCCCAACAGAACATACTCAGTGCCATGAAATTCAGGAAGCTTTGTGTAGAACAAATTGAAAAGCCTTCCATTTTCTGTGTGCTGTAGGTGGGAGATTTACCAGATGCAGATATCAAACCACCAGAAAATGTGCTGTTTGTTTGTAAACTGAATCCTGTGACCACAGATGAAGACCTGGAGATAATATTTTCACGATTTGGGCCCATTAAAAGGTAACTTCTACAGAATAGTTGTTTAAAAAACAACAACACCAAAACGAGAAACAAGTTCAGTTTAAGCAGTCTCCCTAGGCTTCACTGCTCTGCGCACGCACTCGCACTCTCTCTCTCTCTCTCTCTCTCTCTTGATCTGCTTTGACCGCCCTTGTATCTAGGTATAGTAGTGGGACAATGGCTGACAAGATGGGGTGTTTCAGAGAAATACTGCCAGCCTGTTACATGGCTTTCTTAAACATTCCTCAGCATTAATTACAATCCCAAAAGTTAAACTAACAAATTTTTGTCCTAGCGTAGTAAAATGCAAAAAGAAATCAGAGCATTAATGATGGAAAATAGAATCTGATTCAATAAGCTTTTATTTTACTAATTTTAGGACTAATTCTAAAACCCGTACTAATCACACATATGAGTAATTGTTGCTCACCTGAGTAGTCCTATTTAAATCTGCTTCAGCTGTTTGAAGTCATTGTGAGTAAAGGTTACTTATGTGAGTTACGGTTGCAGGATCAAGCCTCAAAGGGCATAACACAGGTTAGAATTTCTAACCTGATAAAGTGATAGTTGTCAGACATCTTCAAACCAGAGGCATTCTTTAATTTGATGCTATTTTTTCAGCTGTGAAGTAATTCGAGACTGGAAGACAGGTGAATCTCTTTGTTACGCTTTCATTGAATTTGAAAAGGTATGTTTTTGTGGAGATATACAAATGTTGCTTATAAAAACAGTGTAATAATATGCTTGGGTTCTCTCTCTCCTCGCAAACACAGCTCTATGCTGGATTGAATGAGAACGGGTGATCTGTTCAAGTGTGTTGGTTAATATTCTCATCTATTGACTGCAGCCTACAAAGGATGTAGTCCTCAGTTCAGGAAAACATTTAAGCATATACTTAAGTTCATCCCTATTTAGCAAACTGTTCAAAAGGGACTGAAATACATATTTAAAGTCAGTAATTGGAATATGATGAGACTGTAATTGTTGTTCTCATGATATAAAATGTATAGCTTGTGTTTTATTGGTTGGCTGTTATCGCTCTGTATTCTGTGAGAAAGTTGTCTGAGTGAAGGTCAAGAGTATGCCAGAACACTTATCTTTAGCCTGCCAGGGAGTTTAGATTTTTTAATAAAGCCATTATCTGTTGTTGTAACTGTTTCTAAATGTATTATTCCAAACATAATACACATAAATAACTAGTCTGTTTTGGCATAGATTTATCTAATCTCAAAGATGAAATGCTTGCATTAAGGCAAATTGTAAAATGATTATACTTATTTTTAAAAAAATTAGAAATGTGATTTAATTCATTTTAGAAAATGAAATACGTATTTATTCAATTATGGCATATTCGTTAGGAATCTCTATGCCAAGAGCAATTCATTTTGGATTTAAATGCTGACTTCATAAGAATATTTGTGTATGATTTGTTAATTAATCTTGACTTAAATCTTCTGGAAACACTGCAAAAGGAGGAAGATTGTGAGAAAGCCTACTTCAAAATGGATAATGTGCTGATAGATGACCGGAGAATACATGTGGATTTTAGCCAGTCTGTTGCAAAGATTAAATGGAGAGGAAAAGGTAGTTTTATTTGTCATCCTTTGATTCTGTACCAACTTCAGACCTTAAATTAGTAAATATTGCTCTCCTAAACAAGAGTTGTTGTATAGGACAAGCATCTCTGTTACAAGGTTAATCAACTCCTTTTCGGCACTATAATGGCCACAACCTGGTATTCCTGGCTGCATGAACAAAGGCTACTAAATCTAGGTCTCTACCTGTTTCCTGCATATTAGAGGACAAGAGGTTTACTGGTAGCTGTCATGTTGTCAAATGTGTTTTTTGCCAGTAAAGTCAACTATTGGTATTTTTTTATATTAATCTCAAGCTTTAAAGAGATAATTTTGGATATTTATTAACATAAATAAACTGCAGTAATCAGCATATTCTTCCTTTTTGTTTGTCATCCATCACTTCATGAAGGATTATATTTACAAGACAAACTGAATATCTAGGCATTTAATACTTCTGTTGCAGTATTAGCCTTCACCATAAGGTGGCAGCACATAACTGACAGTACTGTTAAGTAGTTTTCAAAACTTCAAAACAGAAATATGGAAAATAAAATCCAATATGCCTCTTTAAAATGTTAACCCATGAAAAATGTTTTTCAAAATTTTTACTAAAAAGTGTATAATTTTGTAGTGAGATTACCTCCCTTCCTCTAAGTTTTAGCACAGAACAAAATGTCATTGTTTTGATTTTGAAAATCGGGGGCAGTAACGGAAATGCCAACAGAGCCTTAAGCAGAGAGATGCAGGACCAGCTTTAAGCACAAACAGAACAATTGCCACTTGGTGCCTTGTGACCCTATCCAAGCTCTGCATCCAATAGGCATGAGGTGGGAGGAAACCATTACCTAGCTAGGTCTTCTCAGGCAGGAGGACTACAGACGGAAGGAAAATCATGGCCTGATCCTCCCCCTTTTGCTCTGGGTCATGCACACTGTAAGACCATTTCTGGAGTTTGTTACTGGCACTTCTGTAAATGTGATTACAGTAATGATGGAGGTAACTGATGACAATTGTATCCTGAAGTGTGCTGTACTCCTATGTCTTGTTTGATTTTTAAGATGATGAAAGCCCAGTTGGTTGTTTTTGTATGAACAGGTGGGAAGTATACCAAGGATGACTTCAAAGAGTACGAAAAGGAACATGATAAACCTTCCAAATTAACTTTGAAGGAGAAAGTAAAGCCAAATCAAGAGTATCCTTAACAGTTGAACAATCTGTGTGGCATATTGGCCTATAATGTAGTGGACTTGCAACTAGACTTTGTGAAAACAGCTTCTAATTCTCTAAGCTTTTGTTGGGCAGATGTTTAACTGCTACTTAACATAACCATGTGGCATCAGTTTTGGAATTACAGATTTATTTTTTAATTTGCTGTTTTGTGTGAACAAGGTATAACACTGTCAAATCAGAATGTGTTTATTTTACACCCACTTTGCATGGTTGTAAATAACTACCCTACTGCAAAGCAATGGATAGGCAGGATATTTGGTTTCCCAGAGCAGATCTCAATCAGCCTTACTCTTACCTCCCTTTTAATTTGTCATTGTACATGATTTTTGTTTTGCACAAAATACTGGCTATCTCAATGTTATACCCATGGTAAAGCTTGTTTTCGCTTGTTTTGTGAGCTTTTATATTCTGAATTGACGAATGATTGGTACCAAATCTGCCCTTAATCAACTGATGTAGCGCAAAGTATGACCTTGTGCTGGATGAGGAGATAGAGGAGGCTAGAGCAAGTCACCTACACTCGGGTAAAAAACACAAGAAGAAAAAGCACCGCCACTCTGATGATGAAGAGGATGACAAGAAGACCAAAAAATCCAAGGTACTGAACTGCCATCTGACTATTTAATCCTGTGCCACTTTATGGCCATGTCTCCTCATAACTGCTAAAAAGAAAAGGGTTCAACTGGGGACCTTGCATGCGAACAACCTAAATGAAGGGCTTGTTGCAGTGTAGAAGGTGGCTGCCCAAGATATTCTTGAACTCCTAAAGCTAGGTGTATCTAATTGACCTTCTGCTGAAATGTCCTGAAAAGGGAGCATGGGCTTCACAAAAGTAGTTTCAGCACTGGGTCTGTTTTTCACATTTCCCATCACAGACGAGCGAAACTTAATTTCATGAGTGCAAGGTATTTTTCATGTACTTCCTGGAATGGTGCACATGAGCTTCCTTTAATGTGCAGTCAGAAAACATCTTTCAGCTGACTCAGAAATAGAAATGTGAAATCTGTGTTCGTATTGTGTAGATTAGTAATACTGGAGAATTTTGGCTTTGTTGACACTGTGAAAACGATCAGTTGCTGACAATGATTGTCAGTAGTGGGCCTCCTCCCTGCACCCATCTGTTTTTATTCTTGGGGTAATATTGATCTTCATTTAATGTCATCCAAGTAGAATTGATTAAGTTGGTCGTTATATCATTCTTTTTTTTAACACCATGTAGGAAAGAACACAGCTGGTTGGAAATTGCTTTAAAAGCTCCATTGCCTGGCATGTGGCAGATTTCATATGCCTTGTTGGTATTAACCATTGAACTCATAGTGCGGAAGGGCACAGGCATTTCTACCATCATGTCATCTAATCACATGGTAGTAAAAACACCTGCACTTGTCTACACTACTGTTGCCACTATTGGGGGTAGCAGTATCATAAAATATCAGGGTTGGAAGGGACCTCAGGCGGTCATCTAGTCCAACCCCCCTACAGTTCCACTGATGTTTATGAATTTTCCCAGCTGCTTTTATTTAGGTAAAAGGCATTTTGTGTTCTGTTCTGTCCACTGAGGTATACCATAACTAAAAACTAGCTTGTCGTCGTGAGCCATTCGCTGAGAGACAACCTATCATAACTGTACAACGCTGCACTACATATTGATGTGGTATTTAGAACTGCTGACCTATATGTAAGGTGCGATTACATTGGCCACAAATAGACTGAGAAGTGATAGTAAATGTATCCTATTTCCAGCTCATATCTATGGCATATTGGCTAAACTGTTTGGAGACTGTAGTTTGAGATGATAAATCAGCACAGTGTGACCAATTAAAAAAAATGTAGTTCCTCTTCTGAAACAAAGTAAAGAAATGTCTAGGAAATCCATCCTGCAATGGAGAGACATTCAGATATGTTCTATAGAGTTCAAATAGCTCTGCTTTTCTACTACTTTTTCCCATTTGTTCCTTTTTTCTTACAAAATTCAGAATTGACCCCCTAAGAATCTGAGTTTGTCTCCATGTGTTCTATTTTTCTGTAAGATCAGATAATTTCAAATAGAATTGTCCTACATTAAGGCCTCACTTCATTATGGACTTATGTATGAAAAAAATCTACCTTAAAAGGAACATTGCATTTGCGAAGTCAAGCACTCAAAAGTTAGGACATGCCAGAAATAAGGTTTCCTGTGCAAACTTAATTCAGCCTCCTTGTGCATGTGCACTGTGAAAGTCTTTAATTACATGATCACATACTATTCTTCCCAAAGGACCCCTACCTCATTCAATAAACAGGTAGTTATTCAATATTTCTTTTTATCCTCTACAGCCAGTGTATGGTCCCAGACCTTATTTGCTGCATACCATCCAAACTCTGCACTGAATACAAAATTATTAATTTCTCTCGGGTGCTTCTGTGGTGTTCATCACTACTATATCTGTGTCCGGCACGTGCAGCCTTAATTCTGGCATTTCCTAACTCTTGAGTGCTTGACTTTTCAACCTTAATGTTCCTTAACAAAGTGTGTGGTGTTGTTTTTTTAATGTAATTTCATAATTTAAAAGTTTTAGCCTGAAGTAGACACCCCAGTATGGAAATTTTGAAACTGAATGGTTAAAGTTTTAATCAACTGTAAACAAGGTCTTATAAAAGTAAGCAACCTTAACTCTGGGTGGCGCTATCAGCTCCACCTATAATGATCTGAAGAGGAGTATTTTTGTGCTCTGAGTAGTTTCCATGATGTAAGATGTTTTTCTGCTCTCTGGTGGTGGTCCTTTTTTTTTTTTTTTTCCCCCTCTTCGGTGTGTTTTGACTCATCGTTTTTCATACTCTTGTTTTCTGACTCTTCAGTCTACTTCAGGGTTAAAAAATATTTTTGACTCTTCCATTGTGTGTCTTGATTCCAGAAGGTGGGGATGTAAGGGTATTGTGGTTTTCTTTCAGTAAGCAGGATGTGGGTCTTGAACAGGTGGGTTCACTGCCAGAGAAGGGATCTGAATAGGAGCTGGCAGGGTGCTCTCAATAATACCTGTACTTTTGTCTGGGACCTTTATTTTCATTTATGACTTCCTTCCCTTTCCAGTTTTCTCTGCTATCAGTGTAGATTTCCTTGATTTTTTTTTCTCCCCCCCATATCAGAGTCTGTGGGAGGAGTGTAGTTTTTGTCCAGAGGACTTCTGTTGAATTTATTTAAGCCCTTACTGACTTTCCCATGTGTTATAATTTCTCATGGTTTATGAGCATAGTGAGCTATGTGTTGATTTTTATTGTTGATGGCAAGTGTTCGATTAGTGAGTCAGCTACTTTTTTTGTTGGACTTTGTTCTGTTATATAGCTGTAATAGTTTAATAAAAAAATTGACAGTTAAATTTGATCTTAAGTTGCCAATTGGAAAAGGCAATCTCATTTGTTTGCTGTTCTGTTGGTATAAATGCCTGTTTGATCTCTGCGGTGGTGAGATGAATTTGCCTATTTGCAGCAAATTTGTGTTGTTTCTCTGGTGGTGGTATCACATATGATAAATAGTAATTTGCATGATCCTTCAGTTGCTTCACCTGTCCTTTGCCAAGTAATGCCCGTAAAGCTAGACTGCTTCTAATATTCCAAACCTCTAAGGAGCTTGCAGACAAGTGCCATTTCAAAATAAATAAATAAATTTACCTGCCACAGATTTCCTTCCCCTATTTCCTCTTCCCTTTCTAAATCCCCTGCTGTAACCCAGTGTGGAATTCCTCCACCCCAACATTTCACTGGTCAGAGAAATCGGATGAGCAATATTTAATGCTGGACCGATGACAGGCTTGAAGTCCAACATGAGAGAACTAAAAGGAGTTATGCAAATGGAATAAATCCCTGATTGGCTATTAGGAACCTCCCCCCTCCCTTTCCAATGCTGGGTGACATACGTTTCTAGCTCTATGTCACAAGACTCTGGATCTTAAAATCCATTATCATTTTAGTAACTGTGAGGTTTCTAAAAGATTTATCTTTCTCTGTGCCAATACATGTTGTTTTTACATGCCAAGAAAAAATTAAAGGGGAAAAAAAAGACCAATAAAATATATTAAAAACTTTAAAATATTAAGATACAGATTACACATATGGATACAATTATTACAATATGGCCTTTCCTGTCCATCCACACAGCTGAAACTCTCATCCAGGCTCCAATCATCTCACTTGTTGATTGGGCAACATCCTTCTCTCTGGCCTTGACAAATGCAATCTTGCCCTTCTCATATCCATTCAGAATGCTGCTGAGAAGGTCATTTGCATAGCCTGTCAGTAACACATACCCCTCTCCTTGCATCCCTCCTCTGGCTCCTCCTTATGTACGGCATCAAACATAAGCTGCTTGTCTTCACTTTCAAGATCCTTCACAGCCTGTCCCCACCCTACCTGTCCTCTTTCTTTCACTGTGAAGATGTCGACTCCCACCTCCATTGCACACTTGTTAAATTTTCAAACCAACATCCTCATGCTTGTCCCTAGGCTGCCTCTCATGTTTGTGAGCCGCTCCGCATAAATATCTGCAAGGCTGCCTCATTTTCCATCTTCAAGTCCCTCCTTAAAATCCTCCTTTACCATGAGGCCCACAAAAAACTTGGCCATGGTTAGGCTGTTGGTGTGCTGAGACCATTGCCTGTCATGCAGGCCAGTACATTCTTGTTCCCTTGTATTCTGTATACATCTGTTGCCTCTTGATTTAGCTTTAGCTTGTGAGATTTCTGGGCTTGGGACAATCTTTTTGTATAGCAGCTAGCACAAGGCGAGCGCTGGTCCATGACTAGGGCTCCTAGGTGCTATAGAAATACAGTACAAGTAATTAATAATCATGTTAAAATAGCCATTCTTTAAAATGTAACAGGTTCCCAAACGCACACTAGTACAAATCTTTATCACATCATCACTTACTGTACAGGATTTTTGTGTAATATTTAATGTACACATGAATCACAAATGGTAAATGAGAAGAAAATATAGGGAATACACACAATGGCTGGTGAAAGATAAATGGACCTGACTCATGAGAGGCAAAACCACTCTCAGGTTCTAAAAGTAATCCTAAACTTGTAGCAATAAAATATTTGTCCCCCCAAGGCATCATGTAATCTGTGTCACATTTTTACAGAAGAATGATTTTAAAAAGTTTTTTAAAAATTGTATCCCTTTTCATATCTTCTTTATACAAAGCCAGGTTCTCTTTGTACTATAGGTTCATCTTATACAGGTATCAAAGGGAGAGGAAAATTAGTCAATATAATAATTTTTCCTTGCAGTAGTGTTGCAGTTTTAAAAGTCTGATATTTCTGGATCTCCCAGAATAGAAATGCTGCGTGTCTTATTAGAAAGCTGGGAATCTCCTGGGTGGGAATAAACTTCTAGCCCTGATGGTTTTGGGAGGTCAGATCTTAAACTTTGATCTGTCATCCAGGACTAAATGTTGCTTGTCCAGGGCTTCAGGCCAGTGTAACTTTTGGGAAAGATGGAGGGAAATTCAACAGATGGGGGATTGGGAGGAGAAGGAAACACTTTGCTTGTAGCCAATTCAAATACCAAAATAATAATAATAAATAAAAAAGTGGAAGTTAAGAGCTACTCATATTCTGT